CCAAATCCCTCAGCTCCCTTCCTCCAAGGAGCCTAATGTCAGTGTTGATATACAAAGCCGAGGCAGGAAAAGAAGAGCATGGAGGAGAACCGAAGAGCCAAAAATACTATGTCAGGAACGTGAGCCAATGAATTTATACACAACAGACTTGGTTTGGGCTAAGAATGAGAAACTGAGGCATGTGGCCAAAGTCTTGGCTGTTCTATTTATAAATAAATGACCCAGAATTCTAAATGTCTCTTTACAGGAATGGAAAATGACCCTGGAGAGAACGGCCCCAGGCATGCAGCTGTTTGAAAAAGCGGGAAGTGTACTTGCGGTTGCTTGTTGCTGTTGTTGTGTGCCTTCACGTTGTTTCTGACTTAAGGCGACCCTATCTCAGGGTTTTCTTGGCCAGATTTGTTTAGAGGGAGTATACCTTTGCCTCCCTCTGAGGCTGAGAATGTGTGACATGCCCAAAGTCACCCATTGGGTTTCCATGGCTGAACAGGGATTTGAACTCTGGCCTTCAGATCCCAAGTCCAGTGCCTAAACCACTACTCCATACTGGGGCTCTCTGTCGCTATCTCTATCAGTACTGTCGGGTTATAATGTTGTTTAAAAATTGTGAGCTGGGTGTTGTTGTTGTTTTATTTTTAACATGGCCAGTGGGATAGTGGGAGTTGTAATCTAAAGAAGTCATGTTTCACTGATAACAACAACAACAACAACAACAACAACAACAAACTGTGTTTTATGATTAGTCTCCTGCCTGTGTTGTGTATTCTTAGGTTCTGGTAAAGCTTAAACATATTTATGAAACCTCAGGGGACCAGAAAGAAAACTGGAGAGAGCTCTGATGCCTTTCATGGTTATGTAGAAGAGGGAATTTCAACAGGTATTGATTTTCAGCACCAAGTAACATGCAACACCTTCTGAAATTCCCTCTTCTGTAAAACCATTAAAGATGCGGAAGCCCTCATTAGTTTTCAATCTGGCAACCCTAACAAACTAGCCATCTACCAGTGTTTAAATACTGCATTTACGTTTATTTCGTTTCAGTTTCTGGTTATTGACTGGGATAAAGATTCATTCACCTAACAAGTGAGAACAAGGTTTGATCAGATCACCAGCCCTAGCAACTGGAAAATCATCCAGAGGATTCAAGAATCCTTTGGTTTTCTATACAGGGAGGGCTAACCACCTTTACCCATCCCCAGCTCTGCAGGGAGGGCCCACTGGTTGTTTCCAAGTGCTAAAGCAAATTTCACATGGAAATGATCCAACGGGGACAATGCTCCAACCAGGAGCTGTTGACCCCCATCCCCAAACTGGATCATCTTCTGTCCTTGGAAGAGCACAAGACAAGTCCAGTTGTGTCCTGTGACACTTCTGTCTTAAGAGTGAAAAATCACACTCATGATCAGACTACATGCTATGGTAAACATGTAAGAAAGCTCCTGATCTGGATAGTGCGGGAAGTTTAAAACTTTAAACCTTGCAATTTTGATTTTAAAATCTTGCCCCATAAATGTGGGTTTAACACCACCCTCAATTGATGCCAGTGGAGTTCTTGGGGCAAGGCCAATTTTAAAAATAGATGCAGGAAAGATTTATACTTCACACACTCACCTGAACTAACATTTACCTGCATCAGAGATTCATGAGAGACAGAGAGAGAAAAGATCCTCAGCCATGTATTGTATAATTTAAGGCCCAGCTGCCACTGAAAACAAAAGCTCCAGGTGGAGCAATCGTGCCACTCCTTAAGGCCAAGTACAGTTCATGTTATTTCCTGGCATCATTTTATTTCCCTGATTCAATTGCAAGGCAATGTTTAACGTAATAAACCATCCTCCAGCGTCAGAGCAAGAAACTGACATGGGGAATTATTGTTAATACAATACCAAATAAAACAAAGCAACAATTAAGTTAACCATAGCCATCCATAAAAACAAAACAAAAAACAAAGTCTACAATCCACAGACTTTAACTAGGATCAACTACTATATCACAATAGCCATAGATGCTTTTGAGTTCTCCAGAACCCTTCGAAAGGTTGGGTGATTAAATAAAGAGGGGGTGTTAAGGTCCAAATATTTTGTTAGATGTAATGTAAGCCTCCTCTGAACAAATCTTGCCAAGAAAACCCTATGATAGGTTTGCCTTCGGGGCACCGTAAGTCCAAAACGACCCAAAGGCACATAACAACAACAATTAAACCATGAGGTCTGTGATTAAAATGAGTCCCAAGATGGAGAGAGAAAGCCTGAAAAGTTGTTTGTAAGGACCCAGGTATCATTTGACTGACACCTTGCAATACTTGCTGTGATGGTGACAAAATGGTGGGTCCCCATCTCTGGAAACACACAGTCTGCACCAGTTTCTGGTGTGCCATCCTTAAGAAATACGACAAAATAACACTAACACAATGCAAAGCTGCAAGTTCTGTTTTGAGGTGATGCACCAAGTAAAAGAGTCACTGGAAGCCAAATAAAAAGCCAGGGGCATAATTAGGGAGATGCTGGGGGTTCGGACCACACCAGGTGATACCGTAAAGGGGGGATAACACCACTACTCCCCAAACATCTGCCTTTTGGTAGAAATGGGCAGTGGTGTTTGAATCATAGAGTTGGAAGAGACCACAAGGGTCACCCAGTCCAACCCCCTTCTGCCATGCAGGAAGACACAATTAAAGCACCCCCAACAGATGGCCATCCAGCCTCTGTTTAATAGCCTTCAAAGAAGGAGACTCCACCACTCTCCGAGGGAATGTGCTCCACTGTCGGACAGCTCTCACTGTCAGGAAGTTCTTCCTGATATTGAAGTGGAATCTCTTTTCCTCTAGTTTGAATCCATTGCTCCAGGTCCTGTTCTTTGGAGCAGCAGAAAACAAGCTTGCGCCATCCTCAGTATGACATCCCTTCAAGTATATACACAGGGCTATCAAGTTACCCTTTAGTTTAACCTCTTCTCCAGGCTGACCATACCCAGCTCCCTATGTCTTTCCTCATAGGGAATGGTTTCCAGACCCTTCACCATTTTGGTTGATTGCATCTTTTTAAAATGCTGGAGCTCAGCAAAAGAGATGGGGTGAGTGGGATGAGGATCAGTGAGAGGAGAAAGGAGGGGCCTCAGGGTATTTTAAAATTTAACAAATTTTAAATAATGTTTTCCAAATTTTCTCTTAAAATGTAACATTTTTTCCACTTTAACCACACGAAACTATGTACATGTAAACAGATTCAGTCTGTGCCTACGATTTTGTAATTTGAAGGTATAATTTTAATGTTGCTAGTTATTTATGTCACAACTATTTTCATTACATCCAGTGATATATGGGAATTATGACTTCTGAGTAACAGTGGAACAAAAAACTTTACTAAGCAGTCTGTATAGTATGGTATAAGAGGAGGTCAATGGACGTGATGCCAACCCTAGTGACTCCATTATAGAAAGCATTACCTAGTGGTAACTACAGACTCCACTGAGTGACCTTGGGCAAGTTGCATTCTCTCAGAGGTAGGCAACCGCAAACTCTCTGTGAATAAATCTTGCCAAGAAAAGCCCATTATACGTTTGCTTTAGGCTCACCATAATTCGGAAGGGACTTGAAGGCATACAACAACAACAACAACAACAACAACAACAACAACAACCATAGTGGTGAATACTGTTCCTCTTTATTTGGTGGCTGAGCTTCATAAAGATATTGCCTTCCACTGGAAGGAGTACCAGACTATGAGCCTGGAAACCAGGGGTTTCAATTCCCACTCAGTCATGGAAACCCACTAGGTGACCTTGGGGAAGTCACACACTCTCAGCCTCAGAGGAAGGCAAAGGCAAAATCTGCCTCTGAACAAATCTTGCCAAGAAAACCCTGTAATAGGATCACTGTAAGTCAGAAATGACTTGAAGAGTCACAACAATAATAATGCAACTTCCACAGGGTATGGGATTTTGTTCATATGGTGCAGGAGATGGTTTCAAGCTAAAAATCCTTCACTTTGGGGAGTACTCAAACACTGTGTAAAGCAGGGATACCCACACATTTTGAGCCAGGGGCTGGTTCACTGGTCCCCAGATCATCGGAGGGCTGGAGGTGCGCACACGCATGCGCACGACTCGGGTGCCATTTTGTGTTCCAGAATGGCGCCCGGAGTCACGCGTATGCGCCCAGCCTCGTGCATGTATGAGCACTACTCTGGCGCCATTTTGTGTTCCAAAATGGTGCCCGGAGTCATGCGCATGCATGCCCGACACCAAACGCCATTTTGGAATACAAAATGGTGCCCCGCTTTGCGTGGCGGCGGCGACGGCAGGACCAACCACGGGCTGGTTCAAAGGCCTCGACGGGCCGGGTTCAGCCGGCGGGCCGTAGTTTGGGGACCCCTGGTGTAAAGAATGACTGTTACACATAATAGGAACAAGATTTGCTCTTTGATCCTATACATCAAGGGTTGGAATAGGTTTAAGAGCCTTAAGCAAGGCCAGTTTAAAGTGTTTGTTGCCTAGGAGCAACTCTAAAATATAGGGACCCTTTGTACACATGTGTTAGCTCTTTTGTGAATGATGGCATAGAAATTAAACAAATGAATGTGTGTTGTATTGTGTGCCTTTAAATCATTTCCAACTTATGGTGACTCTAAGGCGAACCTGAATGCATAAATTAAAAACAACAACCATGTACAACAGAGAGCAAGACACAAAAATCTACATTTCTGAATCCATATTTCGTTATTGCAACTTTGGTGAGATTTACAACTTGATCCCATGCATTTTTATTCAATTAAATTATTCAAGTAACACACACACACACACACACACTGATGGTATCAGAAACACTGAGAGAATCAGGAAATGACTAAGGGAGAGGTACGTTATTCCTTCAGCTCTGGAACCTGGAGCCATTGTACCAAATGGACTTAATAGGATGGAGGGTTGGCTAAGGAGTATCAAATTGATGCTAAGAGCAGTTCAAGAATGGGACCAACCACCATGGGTGAAGACTAGCATATTCTCCAACTCTCTCAATTATTCCGCTGTCATCCCACTTTCTCAGGTGTTTTAAAAATGTCCCAGTTTCTCTCTTCTCCTCCTCCTTTCCCCCTTTGTTTTTTAGCAGACATCAGTTGCTGCAGACTGAGTTCAAAGTACAAAAGTAGTTCACAGTCAATTAATTAACTATGGGGGAGTAGAGCAGAAGGGAGGAATCCTGCCGTTCCCAGTAGGCTCTGCAAACCGCTGCAGCCTTTCCATAGCCTCTTCTGTGTTCTTCATCTTTTCCCACCTTGACCACACTGTGATGTTGCTTAGCCACACAAGTCTCAGTTTTCATCTGTGAAATGTTGGAGGGTATGGGGTTGGTTGAAGAGAAACCTATTGGTGGTAAGAGCAGTACAAGAATGGGACCAAACACAATGGGGGGGGGGGGGAGAGAAAGAGCTGTCATTGGGAGTTCTCACTTTCTGGAGAGCGTCAAGTACAGATATTTTACATAGGTCTTGTTACAGGGTTGAGTCTCCCTTGCCTGGAATTCCAAAATGTGAAATATTCCAAAAACCAAACATTT